CTCAGACACATCCTAGGTTTTATTTTGTTGATGTAAAGAAAGGTGACAGCAGGTTGACCATGTTTCAGTTGATACTTTTTGTAATAAAATTTTTATCTCCTTAAATGTTGGCTGGTGTCAGTGTGTGGGACAGTAGATAAAGTTCTTAATTTGAGATTTTTTTTTTTTTCTGGTTTGATATATTTATTGTTTTCAACAAATTAACAAAACTGCAGGACAGTTAACATACATTGACAAACGAATTGTCGAACAGTCAGCTATAACCAGTTTAGTGTGGGATGATGCTGGCAGCACTGGGATCTTCTATATCGTCTTAATCCGTTGATGAATCCAAGTAAGTTCCCAGATGCAGACAAGTTCCAGATTACAACTGCCCAACTGTCATTTATATTACCAGAAAATAAACAGCGACGATTAACAGAAAGAAAAGGTGATACCCCAACCCAACCCACCCCAGAATATTGAGAGAGAAAAAAAAAAACGATGGGGGAAGCAGAAGAAAGAGGGAGAAAAAAAATTATACACACACATATACATAAAAAAAGACAACCAAATAAAAAATAAAATAAAAAAAAATTATTTCAGCTCCGCCACAGACTGTTGGGAATGAATGTATCAGGGTATATTAAGTCATTTGAGTGCCAACCTACAGCCATTCTGACAGGCAAGGAGGTAACAGGGCTACAGAGCTGGAGCAGGACTGCCACTACCTGAGACCCATACCCAGGAAATCACTCAGTTCAAGGAATGGCCCCCACACCCCGACATATCTGGGTACATTATTATTGAGAGTATAGCGTATTTTTTCAAGATGTAAACAAGAAGCCATGTTATTCAGCCAACATTTAAAAGAGGGAGGCGAGGCAGATTTCCACTCTGTGAGAATGACTCGTTTAGCCACAACCATCCCAAAAGAGAGCCTGTTGCACAGGCAAGGACAGAGCAGAGCAGGAGTAAGATACCCAAAACAAGGCAATAAGGTATCTGAAGGTATCTGCTGTTTATAAGCAGTTTGATAGAGACAAAATATGTCGGACCAAAACGTTGTTAAATAATGGCAGTACCAGAACTGATGTCCAAGGGTAGCCTTAGGGTGTCCACATCTGTCACAGGCACTTGAATGATTTGGAAATATTTTACTCAACCGCGCTTTAGAATAGTGCAGGCGATGTACAACTTTAAACTGGATTAGTTGTAATCTAGTATTAATGGAGCAGTATCCTTTTTAAGTAAAAGACAAATATTGGCATCATATAGGGACTCAGGAAAATGCCCGAGCTCAATGGAAAACTTGACCATACGCAGAATAAGTGGCAACACCATATCGATATGGAACTTGTAAAACTCAATTCCGAAGCAGTCAGGGCCGCAAGCCTTTCCACTAGGAAAAGAGCGGATTGCTGCCTTTACCTCCTCCAGAGTTACGTCACCATCTAGTTCCAGCCTGACGGCATCTGTAAGAGTTGGAATGTCCTATTGTTGAATAAAGTGTGTGATATCCTCTGTAGATGCAGTTGTATTAGATGCATAGAGTTTATTATAGTACTGAAAGAAAGTTTTATTTATTAGCTTATGATCTGTCAGAAGCTGACCTGAAGGGGAAACGATCTTATTGATAGCCCGCTCAGCCTGCATTCCCTTCAACTGCCTAGATAGTATTTTATCTGCTGTCTCCCAATTCAAAGTACCTCTGACGCAGCATCTGAATATCCTTAATAACCCGCTCACCCAAAATGCAGTTATATTCATACTTTAACTTC